GACGAGCAAGTGGACGGATATGTTGAAACTACGGGACCAGAAGGTGGTTTCTCGTCTTAGGACAGGCCATACAAGGATCTCACATAGTTTTGGTGGGACGCAGTTCCACAGAATGTGCTACGTTTGTGGAACCACTGCATCGGTGGAACACATCCGCAATACCAACATCTACGGGAGCAGTACGCACTTCCCAACAGCATTGGGGACATACTGGGCGACGAAGCTTCCACTTTAGCGACAGTTATTTATTTCCTCAAGGACGCTGGGTTATACAACAACATTTAGGTCCTTTTAACTTTCTTTTGGCTGACGGTACATCTCTACCGTACGGGGATTACCCCTCCTACGGTGGAGATCCGATCTCTTTCAAAACCCTACCTAACTTTGATGTACCAGATTGTTTTTTTTTTTCTCGTTACCTGCATTGTTAGTCTTTTTACTGGAATCTCAAATTGCTTCTATTTGAGTACATGTGAATTGTAAGCCAATTCCGTAACAAAATTTGCTGGCAGAACCCCAGTCTGGGACCTCCCATTTTATAGAGATGAACTAGCCAACGGCTAAAAATCTCTCTAATAAAGATTTAAAAAAAATCTTAAAAAATCTCTTCTTTTAGTACTTGTCAACATTAGGGTGGTCCTCAAATCGACTCAAAAATGCGTGAATCTCAAACAATGTAGTCCAAGAAATATGAAACATTGAATGAGGATATAATCAGAAAACATTATAAGTAATAAGAATACAACATTAAATTCATGATGGCTAGATCGTAAATACATTTCATAAGTGATGGTTTGAGTGCGAATTTGATTTTTTTTTATTCTGGACAAGAAAGCAAACACCTTAGACACACAATATTAAGCAACCTCGACGAATTTGTTTTTTAAGATTTCATACTTATGACAATTTTGATGACTCAGTGTTTTTTTTAGTTCTCAGGCTTAAAAATCGTGACGAAGGAAAATTTCAAAAGACTTGAATTTCGAATTTTTGAATTCTACAACCACTCTTTGACTGAAAACAATTTTGGGAATGTGATTATTCTTGCTTATGCTTATTTGCTTTTGCTACTAATGCTAAGGGCATCCTAAAAATTCCGTTGGATCTTTTTCCAAAATTCTAAAGAAAAAATCTTCAAAGTTCCAGGCTCTTGTAAAAAATGTAAATTCTAAGAAATTTCGAAATACACTCAATTCTGGTTTTAAGCGATTTATTTTCGTCCGCAGTTTTGATTGTGTGATCTCAAATTGTAACCAAATTTAATGCAACTTGCGGTATTGAAATTTCTGTTCCCATTCTAAATGGGAAATCTAAGATTGGGCCCATCGCTAAAAATCTACCTGTTAAGTACCTGTTACATTTTACACCAGGAATGTCATAAGTCAACCAGGAAAATAATCTTGTTTGTATAATTTAAATAGGGTTTAAATTATATGTATGTCAAAATTTCTTTTTATAATCAGGTCAAAACTAACCATTTTGTTCACAGAACTAAACATTGATGAACAAAATTTACCCTTAGGATTTAGTAAACATATTTTGTATTTATTTTTAATTAATGTTTTTCTCGAATCAATGATTTGTGCTTAATTGATAGCAGTCTTAAGCAGTGCCGACGCGTTACTACTTTGAAGTACCTGCTCAACATGTTCAATAAAAAAGTTCTATTTCTAAAAACTTCAGATAAGGCCCTCGAACTTCATGCAAGTTCTACAAAATTCGGGAAAGACTTACAAGTTTCAGGAAAATCCTGTGAACTACTGTGATGACCTACGACGGTCAGGAACTCTCTCCGAACCTTCAGAGAAGTTCTACAAATTTCAGAGAAGTCTTACGAACTTCAGGGAAGTTCTTTAATCTTTGGGGAATAACTACGAATTTTACAGAATTTTCTACAGATTTAATGTAACTTCTACGACATTTAGACATTGCTTAAAACTTAAAGATAATCCTATGACACTTATGGATTTTTTTTCGAGCTTCAGAGAAGTCTTCAATACTCTTGGGAAGTCCGTAACATAGTTCTCCAAGCTCAAAAAATTTCCTAGAACTTCCGAGAAGTCGATTGAACTACAGGTAGTCCTACGAAATTCATGGGAGTTCTCCAAACTTCAGGGAATTTCCAAGAAATTAAGGAAAGACCCACAAACTTTTGGAAAACCCTTCGATATTTAAAGCCTTATGAACTTCAGGGAAGCTATTCTAAATTTAGGGTCTTCATATATTCAGTTAAGTTCTTCAAAGTTCAGGGAAGTCCTCAGATCTTCGAGAAAGTTCTTCGAACTTGAAAGAAGTCTTACGAACTTCTGAAAATGTCTACGAACTTCATGGTACTTCTACGATATTTAAGAAATTCCTATAACGGCGCCGGTGGTGTAGTGGTAAGCGTGATTACCTCTCACCCCAGTAGGCCTGGGTTCAATCCCAGTTGGCGCCGCCGGGATGTTCTGAGGCATAACATCTCTGATCACGCCTTCCTTCGGATGGGAAGTAAAGCCGTTGGTCCCCGGTTCATGAGTTGATGGGTCGATAGGTAGGGTCCAGGTGTGGGAGCTGTCCTCCTGGCACGTCGGTAGCATTGGTGCTCAGCACGGAAAACAAGATCGACGGAAAAAACAAACCAAAGGAAAAAAAAAAAGAAATTCTTATGCATTTCTAAAAAACTCCGAACTTCAGGGAAGTCCTAAGATCTTAAAAAAAATGATTCGAACTTCGGGGAAGTCCCATGAAATTCAGACAATACAAACTTCAATGAACCCTTCAGGAAAGACCTTAACGCTTCAGGGAAGTTCTATGAACTTCAGCAGTCAGTCTTTTTAATAATAAGAGTTATTAAACCAGCGTTGTTTATGAAATCTTTTAATCATATGATTTTGAAATCATGTTGTAATCAAAATTCCGCTGAATAAGATTCTTAATCGTTGACAATTTGCGGAAAATTTAAACAAACTGGAAATCCGTAAAATTGTTAGAAGCAAAGGTTTGTTTAAAGAGTCCTCATTCTTATCACACTTCGCAATTTCACCTTGAGATAAATTTAAAAAAATCGCAGTTTCAAAAACAGAAATCTCAAGATTTAGGGGTTTATAGATCTCTAAATTTCAGACATTAGACAGGGCTCCGCGCAAGTCCGTCGTATCTCAGCTTTTCTTCGTCATACACCCCTAAAATCGCTCATTTTACGGATTATCGCAAATGTTTCAGTGTCAATGGTAATTAATCTAGTAAGCAAAGATGTTTTTGCAAAAACATGAGTGAAAACGCTTTGCTATTATAGTTTTAGCACATAGTACGGAAATAGGCGCCATGATACGACGAAGTAGCGCGGCTCCCTACTAGCTTCTTTACAGCAAACAATCAGATAAAGATTTCGCGGGCATTCACAGGAACCTTAATAGGGTTAATTACCCCATTTCCGTCCTATTAAGCACAACCCGCACTAAGTCTTCCTTAATCTAGCGCAGTTTGGCACCAAACGGAATGCTGTTATTACTGATGGCTTCCAAATTTATTTACCTTTCCGTACGTACCGTAAGATTTGAAAAAGAGAAACCAATCGTTGAGATATTGTCAAAAGCCTAACACTGCTTCTTGACGCCAAACTCGGCCTACGGATTTTAAACTCGGCCTAACGCATTGAAACGCCATTGAAACGCCATTGAAACGCCAATGAATTCTCTTCGGCCTATCGGATGAAGATAAAACGTGATTCGGTCGGAGTGCTTCTTTTGTTTTTGGGAATAATGGGTGCAAACCTCCATATCACGCGTTCTCAGTGACTTCGTTCCGTAGCTTATAAACTAAAGTATCGTACCAAACGTACAATTGACTTGTTAACTCTGAAATCAAGGATTTATTTGAAGTTTTCTGCTCGATAGGCCCAAAATGAGCGATTAGGCCGAAGTAGTTCTCTACCCTACCTATTTTGATTTGTGAAATTCCGCATTGCGCGAAGAATGATAGTACAAGGATTCACTTTATTTTTTTATTAAACATTGTTTGTCAAATACATGGTTTTTAAAACCAGGAAATGTTTAAATCATTGACCAGGAAAACCAGGAAAAAACCAGGAATTTCAAAATGGAAATTCACTTGCCACCCTGGCTAGACATAAGCCGTAAAAGGCTAAGAGTTAGTTCTCATGTCCCAACCGTCAGCTTCGTGTTTAAATCGCAAACCAACAACATCATCAGGTAGGGGTCACTCTCCGAAAGTGGTATTGGTTTGCGTAGGCGTACTTTGGTTCGCGTGCAAAGGACTTTACAAAGTTTGTTTACAAAAGCTTTTTTACCGATATCAAATGTTACCGCCTGATATATGCCTAGCGTCATCTGAACGGCATTATCTGGAACTAAACTAATTATTTCAAAAATAGTCCTTTGCACAACTTTACCCAAGACACCAACTCTCTGCGATTTTTGATCAACAAAAATACAATTCTGCCCCGGTGTGCATCGGTCGCTGACCTAGTAGAATAAAGAGTAACTGTCCAGTTTGAAGGTAATCCTTATTAACTGTCATTATCATCAATAACTCGAATTTTCTAATTGTTTCCTGCTATAACCATTTGTTTTCAAACACGAAGCAATCACCTTAATTTGTAGAGCCTTCGTGTCAAATTAGTTTGCATTTGCACTCGAAAAAGCCAAAGCCAATTCACTTCCCATATGCTCGAAGTAACCGTACTCTCCAAACCTGCTGCTACATAAAATGTTACAGTTGAAGGGTGAATAATTCATCCATTGCAGACTTTGTTCGATGTGACGCCCTGATTGGTGGAAATCATCTGTTTGTTGTTACTTAACTTGAATTCGAGCAGTAAAGGTTCACACTTTCCGTTCAGGATGAATTTTGAACGGAAAGAGCACCCATTTGCTCGCATGCTCATTTACCGCGCGCTTCTGTAGACGACGTCGTTGGTTGTTGCGCTGATGGTGAGAGCAACACATTTGCGCTCAACCCTCAGCTCTACGACGCTTCCGACGACAACGGCTAGGAGCAGTTGGTTTAGTTTGAACGCAGCCGCGGTTCGGTTCGTAACTCGCGTTCGCTTTTCTTCTCTTGCATTGAAAGAATAAGTTCAGTTCCAAAGGGCCACTCCGGTTGGTCGCGACGAGAACGCGTGGACAGAAAGGATCAGCTTCATCTTCGGTACGGGAAAAGTGATTTACTGCAGCCGGGGCATCGTCCAGTGTCCACCCAAGCCGCCAAGACAAAGTGTTGGAATTTTCCCTGACTACAAAGGTTTTCGATCTTGCCAGCTGCGTGGTAGTGCGGAGGTGTTCAACGCATTGCAATAGCCAGAAGATCGTTCAACAAACGAAGAAAGTGTTGGAATCTGTTCGGTTCTCGTTTACTTTTGTGGTGAAAAATCTGTGAGTTGTTTATAAATATTTTGAACGCTTCCGAGCACCGATCCAGAGTTGGTCGGATGGCTCAGCTGGATTCAGTCTGGATTTGCTACGAATAATCGAAGAAACGAAAAGTAAGTGCTCACAGTCAGGGGTGTGAAAAAGCGAAGTAGGAAAAATAAGTGGTGTGAAAGATTTAGTTAAACCCCATCGGCGGCCACTTCTGAAGAGGGTGTGTGCAAGCAGATAATGAAAGTAATTTATTAACAATCCGTCCGGAAAATCTCATCACCACCGCCACCCCCACCGATCGAACGCCCACCGAATGAATGCGCTTCAAGTGGTTTCGTAAGTGTGATTTGATAAAACAAAAATTTCGCTGCTGTGATTTCAGTTGTCCGCTACTTATCGGGAAGACGCAATCTTGTTTAGAGGGGGAGTCTAAGCGTTTATAAATTAAATAATTATAAATTAGGCCAAGCGACCGAATTGGCATCAGTTTGAGATAAGCATTTTTTGTAAAACGTATTGTGGGCGACAATTGGTTCAAAGGTACTCTTGCCGGGTTACAATTGAATTTAAATACACTGCTCTTATCATACGACGACTGCTGTCATGTCTCGAGAAACGGTGTGGGATTTTCTTGTCCGGGTTTGTTTTGTCTGAACAGAAAGCAGTACAAACACCTACCGGGCAAGATAGTGCTCTTGATTTAATAAACATTCTTGTATTGGTGTTACAACAGGGGTGATGTTTACTGACCAAAGAACCCCCGGCAGGAATAATTCTTAATTTTCTTGTTTGGGGGACAACACCTATCAACGGTGCAAAGTTAAATTGAACGTGTAACCCTTTAATTTGCCAGCTGTAGCAGTTTTTTTTTTATTGTTATGGACCATTAAGTCGATATTTTAATGGATATATGCAATATTCCGTTAAAGAAAATAATGAGCAGCAAAAAAGATGTTAACATTATGTTGATGTTCATCCTAGATGTAAAACATCATGTTTCAAAGAAAGAACAAATTCCCATGAAAAATCCTTAGCTTAAAATACTCCTATATGCGAGATTTTAACAAAAAATTTCATGTCTTAGTTCTTAAACTACAGTGTATCGCAAGATTGAGCGTACATCCTAGTCGATTTTTTTATACATTGTAAACAGACATATTTTTTTAATCTTGGCTGATGGTTAAACAGATATTTATTAATATTCGATTCGCTATAGTTTTGGACTTTATTAGAAGAACCTGTGTGAAGTTAGATTTATTTTAGTAAAACGTTCGATTTTCAACTTTTTACCTATTGGACGAATTTTAGAAAAAAATAGTGGAATATTAATGATCATAAAATGAGCAAAATTTCAAGAAGTTTAGATCATTGTATTTTAAGATATTAAGGTATTTCACGAAAAAAACGTTTTTCTCAAATATGTAACTCTTACTTTTAATAAACGCAACCATATAAGCCCAATACTTTACCAATAATTGATAAAAGTATGATGATTCAGCAACGAAAAATTCATAACCGTATCTCTTTAAATTGGACTTTAACAACAGGTTTTTCTAAAATTTAAGGACATCTGTACGCTCAATTTTGAGATACACTGTATGTAGACGTTGTTGTTTTTGTTTTTGATGGGAGTAAAGGTCATTCAACCAAGTAGAAACGATGGGTATTAGACTGATGCAAAATTTGACTTTTTCGCTCCACAGTGCTTAAATGGTTTCAAATTGGGTCCTGATTAGCCTCCCAAAGTTACAACTCATTTGGTTTGGAACAGACTTCGCACAAACCATTTGAAGTTTACATGTAAATTACTATGGGAAATCTCAAATTTTTTTTCTCATTGCCTTCTAGTCTCTTTCCATATTGAGTTGCGAAACAGTTCGATAGCCATTCTTATAGAAAATTTTCTCAGCTACAACTTTGCTCAAAATTGTTTCTATGTAAAACGAAACAGAAAAAAGTTATTAATTATTTAAGAGATTGGTAAACATGGTATGACATGATCAAGCAGCTGCTCTCTAGGCAACACTGTATTTTGCAGTGTGACATAGTAGATATGATTTTTGTGTCCTATTCAACGCCCCAGAAACACCAATGTTACCTGCTGAGCAGTTGATTGAGCATGATCATAAGACATCAGCGCATTGAACCATTGATAACTTTCGATCCTTGCATTTAATGAAAAAGTGAATTTCAGCAAAGTTGTAGCTGGGAAAATTTCCTACAAGTACAGTTGAAAGTTTTTGAAGCAGACCGATATGGTGAATTATTAGATAGACCTGAACAAAAATCTTGGTTTTACTATAATAATTCCCATACAAACTTCAAATGGTTTGTGCGATCTCAGTTTCTCACCAAATGGGTTTAAATTTTGAGAGGTTAGTCAGGATCCGATTTGAAATCGTTTAAGTATTGTGGAGCGAAAATTTCAAATTTTGCATCACTCATGTGTATGCCCTGAATCTCGAAAAGTCAGCAATCTTAAAGCTGAGACTTAATTCAGGATAATAATTGTTATTTCTTATACCCCGTGCACATTACAGCGTATATCACGTGATATACACTGCCTTGCAATGAGCACTCATACATCTAGTTTTAACTGGAAATCCTATGTATGAGTTCTCATTGCATTACGTGCTATATGCTGTAATGTGAACGGGGTATTAGAATGAGATCCTGAATATTGTTTTTATAGCTGATGAATGATGAGAATTGTTCCGAGTCCATGTTTCTAAATTTATTTGTTTTTGTAATTGTAGGATTTTAAAATTAATTCTTTCGCAGATCCATATATTTTTAAATGTTATTTTTTACTATTTTTAAAATATAATTTTGTAATGTCTTTGATGATTTTCCCGGATATTTAAATTTTAAAACAAATTAAAAAAAAGCTTTATTCAAAATTACTCAAAAATATTACCGTTTATGTTTTTCCCAGGAAGCATTTACTTTTCTCAACAACTTTGTGTCAGACATCATTTCGATCAGAAGTAACGTTTTTGTGCTACAATTTGTTGAAAAATGTCAAAGACACTATTTAAAAAAAAAAAACAAGATCCAAAATGGCTGAATTTTAGCAAACATGTGAATGATTGCCCAAACAATCAACTAAGTTTCATGCAAATCGGAGAAGTTTGAGTTTTTCCAATTCCGGCGTTGAATTGCTCTTTTTGAAGTTCAATTTTTCACTTGAGTAGTTCCTGGTCAAATAGCAAAACAAACATGAATTTTTGATTCGACCTTCTCCGATTTGCATGAAACTTTGCATAATTGTTTGTTATGGGCAATCTTTCAAATTTCAGGCGTAACATTTGAAAACGGCCCAAAAATGTTTGTAAACTAAAGTTATAAAGCCATTTACACACGAACCGAAATAGGCTAACGTAAACCAACAACATCATCGGGTAGGGGAAATTCTTCCCTTTCCGATAGTGGTATTGGTTTGCGTACAACTTTTACTTACAAATGCTTTTGTGATGTTTTCTAATGCTACACCTGATTTGTGCTATAATTCGGCCATTTTGAATATTCCATTTGTTTCAAAATGGTGTATTTTACATTTTTTAATAAATCGTAGCTTGTTAACGTCACTTTTAATCGAAATGACGTCAAATACAAAGTTTTAGGGAAAAATAACGGTACATTTTTTTTTGTAAATTTTAGAAAAAAAATAAAAATCCTAAAAAAATATTAAAAATTTAAATAACGAAAAATGTTCTTGTTCATTTTTTTTATAAAAATCTATTAAAAATGCAAACGTCTGAAAACATTACAAAAATCGTAGAACAACAACTTTTGATTAAATTTTTTGACTTTTAATTTACTTTTTCTTGAATTTTTTTGCATAGAAAACAATATCTGACGACACCATTTAAATCGTTTTCTGTACAAACATTCTTTAGTTTGTAAATTTTTAGGTGTCCAAAGTTTTCAATATTTGAAAAGTTTGCATTTTCCATTAGCTTTTTTTTAATCCCAATGTTCAAGCAAGGATATATATTGTAGTTTTTAATATATTTATTTTTATTTTTTCTCAACTGTGTATATATTTCCTAGAACGACTTTATGTTGCGCCACAACATTGTCTAAGACGTCATTTCTATCAGAAACGACGTTTTCATACAACGATTTATTAATAATTTTAAAAACGATTCAAAATGGCTGTTATTGCACAAATGTTATGCATTGCCCAGAACAAACAATTATGCAAAGTTTAATCGAAATTGCAGGGCTGGTAGCAGGTCACTTTTTAATGGCTACGTCACTATTTTCAAGCCAGTCCCTAAAAAGTCACTTTTTTCCACCCAAAAGTCACTAAAGTCACTATTTTTTTTAATTGAGTCACTAAAGCCACTTTATCATGTAGAAAGTAAAGAATTTAGCTTTTACAAATCACATCAAATCACAGCTTGATCACGTAGAACCACCGACAAACCGACTTGAAACTTGAACTTAACTTTTGCTTAAAAATCTCTAACATGGTAATTTGTATGGTCATTCATGTCGGTTTGTCGGTGGTAGAACTACGCAAAATTGATATATGCATTGGTGTAACTAATGGGGGTGCCAGGGGGGCAGGCCCCCTCCAGAATTATCTAGGCCCCCTCCTGAATTTTTGGTGTTTGTTTTTGACTCACCAGTATTTTTTCAAGCTTGTTAAGTTCAATGCTACTATTTAACAGTGATTAATAAAATTGGACCGCCCACAAAGATTTTTAAAGTCCTTTATGTTGATTACTTTTGTTATGTTCTGGACTAGAAGAAACCATTTTGAGAAATTATATTATATCAAATCGATGACAATAAGACGTCTTCAGGCTCTACAAATTGGCCATGGGCCCAAGAATTTTTCTTTCACTTGTGGAAACTTCGTAAAACTTCAAATACAAGTTCAAGGAAGATCGTAGAAATTAAGTAAACTTGGTAGATATTCTGGAAAATTCATAGACCTTCAGAAAAATTCGTAGAAAAAAGGAACTTCGAAAAGTTCTGAAAACTGCGTAGAAGTAGAGAATTCATTTAAATTTGAGGAGTTAGAAGTTAAAGGAACATTATTTTATTTTAGGGAAGCTCATTATTGATCGGGAACTTCTACATAAATTCATTTTTTTAGCCCATGGACTTGGTAGTAGTAGTGGTGGAGTAGTAGTGGAAATTCAACAGCAAACTTTGTAGAAGATTTTCAATTTTCGTAGCATTTTGAGGAGCTGCATATAAGTGTAAGGAATTTTGAAAAAGCTTTTAAAAGATCTAAAAATAGTTCAATAAACTTCTATGAACTTCAGGGATCTTCGCCTCAGTTTAGGGAACTTCGTTGCAGTTTTTCAGAAATCTTACTC